TCTCTTTGGGTGGCAGCTCTGCTTTCTTTAGGGTATATTGCTAGCAGTGTAATTTCTGGGTGAAATAGTGTTTTGACTTCCAACCTTTTGAGAAATCGCCATACTGCCTTTCAGAGTAGTTGAACCATTTTACACTCTCATCAGCAGTGAATGAGAGTTCTAGTTTCTGCACAAACTCATCAGCATTTGTTGTTTGCTGTTCTGGTGAACTTGGCTTTTGTTACTTGGAGCAAGATGATATAGTTGTTTTGATTTGCAACTCTCTTAGAGCTAGTGATTTTGAACATTTCTTCATGTGTCTGTGTGTCTTTGGTAAAGGGTCTATTCATATCCTGTGTCCATTTTATGATTGGGTTGTTTATCCTTTTTCTTGTTGAGGTACTATTCTATAAACTTTATATGTAAGTCCCTTATCAGATATGTCATTACCAAATATGTTTTCCCAGTCTGTGGCTTTTCTTTGTACCCTTTTGGAGAAGATTTTTGATATGGTTCAAAATTGGAAGGGTATACGCCAGGGATGTATCCTATTTCCATAACTTTTCAATCTTTGTGCAGAACAGATTATCCGAAAGGCTAGGCTCTATGAGGAGAAATGTGGCATCAGGATTGGAGGAAGAATCATCAGCAATCTGCATTACGCAGATGACACAACCCTGCTTGCTGAAACTGAGGAGGACGTGAAGTGCTTGCTGTGGAAGGTCAGGGACTACAGCCTTCAGTATGGATTGAGGCTCAATATCCAGAAAACAAAGATTCTAACCACTAGGCCAATTGACAGCACCATAATGGATGGTGAAGAGATTGAGATTGTCCATAGTTTTAGTTTGCTTGGCTCCACAATCAACACTCTTGTCACCAGCAGCCAGGAAATTAAAAGACATATTGCGATGAGAAAGTCAGCTATTAGGGACCTCTCCAGTGTACTGAAGAGCAACGATGCCAGTCTGGAGACTAAGATGCCCCAGATAAATGCCATGGTCTTTGCAGTCATTTGCCATGCATTAGAGAGCTGGACAATGATTAGGAATGATAGAAGGAGAATTGATGCCTTTGAGCTGTGGTGTTGGAGAATAGTATTCCATATACCATGGACTGCTAAGAGAATGAACAGGTTTGTCCTGTAGAGGGTTAAGCCAGGCTGCTCCTTGGAGGCAAGGATTCTGAAGCTTCATCTGACATGTTTTGGACATGTTGCAAGGAGGGACCAGTCCTTGGAGAAGGATGTCATGCTTGGGAGGGTCGAGGAGCAGCACAGTAGAGGAAGACCCTCAATCAGATGGATCGATTCAGTGACTGGCTAATGGTGGTAGGTGTCTTAGAGACAGTGAGATTGGCACAGGATAGGGCAGGGTTTAGGGCTATACATAGGGTTGCTGTGAGTCGCAGGCAACTCAATAGCGCATAACAAGAAAACAACAACAATACAGGCATTTGATTCTTTGAAGGTCCCCTTCATCTATTCTCTCCTGGTTTTAGGTTTTTCATTCTGCTTCGAAGACTGTTTATGTTGTTGATTAGGGCTTCTAGAGTTTTTCCAGGCTTTTCTCTGATGGAGTTTTTAGTCCTAGGTTTTACTCCTATGTTCTTGATCCACTTTGAGTTGATTTTTGTGTATGGGATGAGGTGTGAGTCTTGCTGGACTTTTCTACAGATAGTTTCCCAATTTTGCCAATACCAGTTGTTAAAGAGGCTTTAATTTTCCACTCTTTATTGATTTTGTCTTTTTGCCAAAAATTAGTTGATCATTGGTAGATGAGCTTATTTCTGTGTTTGTTCCTGTACCAGAACCACACTGTCTTGGCCATCAGAGCTGTGTACTGAGATCAGGGAGTGAGATTCCTCCTACCTTGTTTCTTTTTTTCAGGAGTGCTTTACTTATTTGGGGTCTCTTTCCATTCCAGATAAAATCAGAAAAGTGCCTTTTCCATCTTTTTGAAGAATGGAATTGGTACTTGTATTGGGATTGCATTGAATTTGTGGAGTGCCTTTGGTAGAATTGTCATTTTTATAATACTGAGTTTTCCTGTCCATGAGCATGGTATATTCTTCCATTTCCCCAGATCTCTTTTTGTTTCTTGTACTAATGTTTTTTGTTTTATTTTCTTTGAATAGATCTTTTGTGTTTGTAGTTAGGTTTACTCCCATATATTTAATCTTGTGGTTAGCTATTGTAATGGGTATTGTTTTTCTTAGCTCCATTTCTTTATTTTCTTTTTCACTGTGGAGAAATCCAATAGAGTTATTTAAAATTTTTTTTCCTTTTATTAATTTCAATGAACACCTACAAAGATTTTGAATTTCCATTCATCCATTATTGCACTTTTCTCTACGCCCCCCCTCCCCAGTTCGCTCTTCTCCTTGAAAAGCAAAAGAAATACTCCTTCATTGGTATAATATCCCCCCGCACACCCCTAACCCCCACCTCAAGTATACTCCATTCTGCAACTCTCATTCCAGACTCTTAGGATAATCATAATGCCCCAAAATATATTGTTGTTGTTGTTGTTATGTGCCATCGAGTCATTTGCGACTCATAGCGACCCTATGCACAACAGCCCTAAACCTTGCTCTATCTTGCGCTAACCACACCGCCTCTGACACACCCATCCCGATTACCCCAGTCACCGAATCAATCCATCTCATAGAGGGTCTTCCCCTCCTGCGCTGTCCCTCCACCCTCCCAAGCATGATGTCCCTCTCCAAGGACCCGTCTCTCCTGGCAACATGTCCAAAGTATGTCATACGAAGCCCCAGAATCCTTGCCTCCAAGGAGTAGCTTGGTTTAATCCTCTCCAAGATGAATCTGTTTGTTTTCCTGGCAGTCCATGGTACATTCAGTACCCTTCTCCAGCACCACAGCTCAAAAGCATCCACTCTCCTTCTGTCCTCCCTAGTCATTGTCCAACTCTCTGATGCATAACAAGCGATTGCAAATACCATGACCTGTATCAGGCGCACCTTAGTCTCCAGAGAGACACTGTTGCTCCTGAGTACTTTATAGAGGTCCCTAGCAGCAGACTTTCCCATCGCGATATGCTTTTTTATTTCCTGACTGTTGGTGCCAAGAGTGTTGACTGTGGAGCCGAGCAAACTGAAGCTGTGAACAATCTCAATCTCTTCGTCATCCATCCTGACGCTGCCAATTGGTCCAGTGGTGAGAATCTTTGTCTTCTTGACATTGAGCCTCAGTCTATACTGAAAGCTGCAGTCCTTGACCCTCTGCAGTAAGTGCATGAGGTCTTCCTCAGTTTCAGCAAGCAGGGGGAGTCATCTGCATAATGCAGATTGTTGATAGATCGTCCACCAATCCTAACGCTACACTTCTCCTCATAGAGCCCTGCCTCTCGGATAATATGCTCTGCATACAGGTTGAAAATGTATGGAGACAGGACACATCCCTGGCGTACACCCTTCCCAATTTTGAACCATGCTGTAGTCTTTTATCTTCTGCAACCAGCTTCAACTCCTCCTCACTTTAAGCAAGCAACATTGTTCAGTCTGTATAACAGAGATTATAAATGAGTTTTACACAGTTCCTAATGCCATATTCAAGAAGTCAAGCTAGATTATTTGCTTAGAATACAGATTAAATAATTAAGGAGAAATTATACAACCCTGATGTATATCTTCCCTAATTTTAAACCTTGTAGTGTTTCTCTTACTCTGGACAACAGTAGCCTCTTGATCTAAGTATATGTAGGTTTCACATGAGCCTAATTATGTGGCCTGGGATTCCCCTTTTTCTCAATGTTAGCCTAGGTTATTATGATCTATGCAATCAAATGCCTTTGTGTAGTCAATAAAACACAGCAATCCTTCTGGTACTCTCTGATTTCAGCCAAGATCCTTCATGTTAAGTTTGACTTTATATTTGACATCTTATCTGCTTACTGACAAAATTGGGTCACTGCAAGCCATTCCAAATTAACTCTCTGTTTCTTGAGGTAAGAGGTCTTATCTCTTGTAAAAGGATATGTCAGAGTCTGAATGAGAGGCCAGAGATGTTGCTGAGTGGAATGTCTTTCAAACAGGCAGAAGTGGCAGGGAACTTATGCTCCTTGTAAAATACTTTATCAATTCAACATGTACCATCAATTTATGGTAGATACTCCAAAAAGGAATGCTGTATTAGTCATGTTATATGGCACATTAAGATTTTAAAACATTGTTTTCTGTAAAACGTCTCATCAGAATTGATGCTAGTATTCAGTTGTTAGTCATTCCTTCCATAATGAAAACTTCCTTCAAGATCTGAGCAAAATGGGGTGCTCTCTTACACCAGTATGGGAGGCACACTGTGTTCTCAACTTTATTTCAGACAACCTGGTAATCCTGGGATCCTTACACCTACTGAAGCCTATTTTTCATCTGTTACATGAGGAATGGGGTCCAATCCAAATTATGAATGGACAATAAGGGATAGAAAGGGTAAGACCTCAGCCCTACAGGAATTTCAGGGTTGGGCCTAAAACCCAGGTGTCTTCTTTCTCTAGTCTTAAGTGTTTTCTACTCTAATTGTTATAGATTGACTTGAATTTTGTTAAATCTTATTTACCCAAAATAGTGTATTCACGTATTCACAGCATAGAACAATCATTTGCTCATTCATTCAACAGATACCATTTGAGCATCTTTTTTTTAGCATCTTTTTGTAAAAAAAAGCCAGATACTGTACATTATGAAGGGAAATAGGACCCATTCTTGTCTCTCTAGGAGTCTGCTTATATACTCTGTGTTACCTCTCTGAATACCTGACTCCATAACCATCCTTCCCTTGAAGGACTTCTCCTTGGTCTATGGAGGACACCTCAACTTCCCTGGCTGCCTTTATAAGGCCCCTGAGGTCTGAAACAGTGTCCCTTATGTCCATGTGACTAAACACAAGGAATTGTCCACATCCAGGTTGTCATATGCATTCTTCCAGTGCCTAATAGAAAAAAGACAGAGTAGGTTCCAAAGCCATGCCTTTCCTTCCTCATGGATTTTCTCATTTCTAGGGAGCTTGCGATGGCATTATTATGTCACCATTCCGATGCCAGCCTCCACTTTCACTGTTGCTGTGGGGTCTTGGGCAGAAATAAAGCCAGAGGCCTGCTCATCCAGTGATGTGGCAACAGAAAGAGCCTTCCCACCTGCAGAGGCCGACTTCAGGTTTGTGTTGTAAACTTGCTACAAAACAAATACTTGAGAGAGTGGTGTGATGTTTTTGCATTCTTGGGAATTTGAGTCATCCTTGCTGAGAAACTAAACCAAAGCTTGATTAATTGAAGCAGGAAAAGCCTTACTTGGAAAGAAAGAAAAGTGGCAGAAATTTGAGCATATTGTTTATGCAGCAAGAAAGAGGGGGGGAAGCTTAAATGAAATTTTTTCTTAAGATGAAATATTTTATGTGTGTCTGATTATTTAAAATACATGTGAGTTCAAAACTTCCCTCCTACCTCCATACTCTTTCCATCAGTTTTCTTTCTTTGGGTGAACAAACAGCTTCTTCTATGGTGGGTTACTCACTACTGGGTTTCCAATGCTTGCTCTTACTGTTTGTAGGCCTATTCCTGTCCTCAGAGTTGGTCAACCTTCATGGAAGCACAAAGCACATTGAAGCTTTCACAAGACAGTTGGTTTGAGGAATCTCACTGGCCTAGTCCTCTTTTTATACTTTAGTAGAAAGCAAGTGCCTCTTTTAAAGAATGGGTCCAAAAGAAACCTAAAGTTTTTAAAAATTAGAAAAGGTGGTTAGAGATTATCTTGAAGCCTGTCAGTCATTACCTTGTATGCAGTTTCATTACCAAGTTCTACTGGAACATAGTAGGCCATAGGGAGTTGTGCTACTAACCCAAAGGTGTTTGTTGTTGTGTGCCGTCGAGTTGCCTGTGACCCAAAGCAATTCGATATACAGCAGCGCTGAAGCCTGCCCTGTCCTGAGCCAGTCTTAATGATTTCTGACACATCTACCCCCATTGCCCCAGTCACTGTATCATCCATCTCATGTAGGCTCTTCCTCACCTGCGCTATCCCTACATCCTTCTAAGTATAATGTCCTTCTCAAAGGACAGTTCTCTCCTCACCACATGCCCAAAGTGTGTGAGACTTCAAAATCCTAGCAGTTCAGATTTGTCCAGTTTGAGTTCTTTGGCAGTTTGGATTCACCAGTGGCTCCTAGAAGAGAGATGGACAGTCTTTTTCTGGGTAATTTACAGCCTTTGAAACTCACTGAAGGGTTGGCTATGGGTCAATTCCAAATAAACAACAATGAATTTCTATGAGGGTACTGCTATAAGATTGATCAAGCATGCACTCAAATGCGTTAATAATAATGGGTGACTGGAATGCAAAAGTTGGGAACAGGGAAGAATGATCAATAGTTGGACAACGTGAAGCTGGAGCTAGAATGTTGGAATTATGTACATTCAATGATTTATTCATTGCAAATAGTTTTTATAAGAAACACAACTACAGGTTATACACCTGGATTTCATCTGATGGTATGCATAAGAATCAAATCGATTACATCTATGGAAAGAATTACTGGAGAAGCTCAATATCAGCATTGAAAACTAGGCCAGGTGCTGATTGTGAAACAGACCACCTGTTACTCAAGTTGAAGTTGAAGAAAATTAAACTCACAGGAACCAAAATTTGACCTTAACTCTCTATCCAACTCGAATTTCAAAACCTTCTCAGAAACAGATTTGAGTCCTTGAACACTAATGAGAGAAGACCAGATGAGCTGTGGGAGGATATCAAGAATATCATCCAGAAAGAATGCAAACGGTCATTACAAAGGCAGAGAAGGGAGAAAATACCAAGATGGATGTTAGACGAGACTCTGTATATTTCACTTAGAATGCTGAGAAGCCAAAGCAAAGAGAAGCAATCAAGAAATTAAGGAGCTGAACAGAAAGTTCCAAAGGACAGCACGGGAAGACAAAGCAAAGTATTATAATGAAATGTGCAAAGGGTTGGAGTTAGAAAATCAAAAGGACTGAACTCCCTCAGCATTTCTTAAGCTAAAGGAATTGAAGAACAAATTCAAGAGCCATGAGTTTCAGTACTTAAGGATGCTTTGGGCAGAATATTAAATGATCCAAGAAGCATTAAAAGAAGATGGGAGGAGCACACAGAGTCACTGTACCAAAAAGAATAGACTTGGCTGACAGAGAAGAATTTCACAAAACAATGTATGAGCAAGAGCCTGTGGTGATGAAAGAAGAAATTTAAGCTCCTCTGAAAGAATTGGCAAGACACAAGGATCCAGGACTTGATGACATACCAATTGATATAATTCAACAAACAGATACTGTCCTGGATGTGCCCACTAAGTTGTGCCAAGAAATCTGGAGGAAAACTACCTGGCCAACTGACTGGAAGAGATCTATGTTTGTTCCCATTCCAAAGAAAGGTGACTCAGCAGAGTGGAAATTATTGAACAGTATCATTAATATCACATTCAAGTGAGATTCTGCTGATAATTGTCCAAAAACAAATGGAGCAGTACACATCACCAGAGAACTGCCAGATGTGCAGGCTAGGTTTATAAGAGGCCATCGTACTAGGAATATTATCGTTAATGTTAAATGAATCTTGGCTGAAGGCAGAGAGTACCGGAGGAATGTCTGTCTATGTTTCATTGACTATGCAAAAACATATGACTGTGTGGATAACAACAGATTGGTTGACTCTGAGAAGAATTGGAACCCCAGGACATTTGATTGTGCTTATGTGAAGTCTATACTTGGACCAGGAGGAAGCAATTGTCAGAACATTATAGGGAGAAAATGCATGGTTCAAAATCTGGAAGGGTGTACACCAGGGATGTAGTGTGTCTCCATACTTTTCAGTCTATATGCAAAACAAATCATCCAGGAGGCTGAGCTGTATGAGGAGGAATGTGGCATCAGGATTGGAGGAAGTCTCATCAGTAACCTGCATTATGCAGATGACACAACCCTGCTTGCTAAAACTGAGGAAGACCTGAAATGCTTGCTGCAGAAAGTCAAGAAATCAAAGATTCTCACCAATGGGCCGTTGGGCAGCATTAGGATGGATGGAGGAGAGATTGAGATTGTTAACAGCTTTAGTTTGCTTGGCCCCACAATCAACATTCTTTGTACCAGCTACCAAGAAATCAAGAGACGCATTGCATTGGGAAAGTCTGCTGTCAGGGACCTCTCCAGAATACTGATTAGCAATGACATCAGTCTGGAGACAAAGGTGCACGTGATCCAGGCCATAGTCTTCGCAGTTGCTTGCTATACGTCAGAGAGCTGGACAATGACTAGAGGTGATAGAAAGAGAATTGATGCCTATGAGCTGTAGTTCTGGAGAAGAGTATTGACTATACCACAGACTGCCAGGAGAATAAACAAGTTTCTCCTAGAGAGGGTGAAACCAGGCTGCTCCTTGGAGACAAGAATTCTGAGGCTTCATCTGATATACTTTGGGCTTGGTGCAAGAATGGACCAGTCCCTGGAGAGGGACATCGTGCTTGGAAGGGTGGAGGTACAGAGAAAAAGAGGAAGACCCTCAATGAGATAGTTTGATTCAGTGACTTGGGTAATGAGAGTATGTATGTCAGAGACAGTAATGTTGGCATGGGATAGAGCAGGTTTCAGGGCTAGCATATATCAGGTCTTGGCTTGATGGCACATAACAGTAACTGCTATAACACAAATATCTTATGTGAGTAACTTTGAAAATATATATGTATTTTCTCAAAGAGTTTGAGGATCTTAAGCTCACGGTCCAAATTTCTTCTGTGGAGCTTCTGGTGGAGTTGAATTGCCAAAGAGATATGGCATCTGTGTTAGTAGTGCAGCTCCCTGTGGGCTAGGCCTCCAGAATGCCCTATTGCTGTTGTTGTGCACCATCAAGTTGGAATTAACCCATAGTTGACCCTGCAGTGCGTTTTCAGAGAAAGTAAATTGCATGAAAGAGAAGTGCCCATCCTTCTCTTGCAGTGCATCTGGTGGATTTGAACTTTGTACCTTTGAGATTGCAGTGCAGATTTTTACCAGGAGGCTACCTATTTCTGTTAGGAGTATCAGTTGAGAGCATAGCTCTAGGGGGAGGCCCTTTCTTGCTATTTCAACCCTAATAACTCACTGTCATTGAGTCAGAACCAACTCATTATTGACCCACCATCAGGCTTTTAGAGACTATAAATCACATGGGAGGAGATTGCCCATCTTCTTCCTGTGGAGCAGCTGGTAGATTCAAACGACTGAGCACTAGCAATTTTTTAAAATCCTGGGCATGTAGATATATTCGTTGTTGTTATCAATGTTCCTCTTCTCCTGTCTCGGAATTTAGTGTATTCTTTCAATAACTCAGGAATGATTAGACTCACTTTACTGTTGAAAGATTAGATTAGCATAACAAAAAGAAATTCCTGATCAGCATCATATTAACAGTGCAAGGGTTAAAATTTGTTTGGGAGTGGACTTCTATTTAATCTGTAGCAAACTATTTCTAGCTTTGGATGACAAAACAGAGAGAACAGTGAACTAAAGGTTGCTGAAGGCACACATGATTGCATCACATTTCATTTCTAGGACGTTTATGCCTAGTTCCACTTGATAATTTTTTGTGTTTACAGAAAGTTACTACCTCAGTACCTCTGGTTTGCCTTATGGAGAAAGGCCAGAATAATGATAAAGATTGTTTAGCTCTTTTTGAAAACTTACTAAGGTACCTTCTTGGTTCAAATTCTTTTCATTTTTGTTTTATTTTGCCATATTGCTTTCTTACCACAGCGACCATTATGATTGGTATCATCAGGGATAAACAACTGTGTGCCTTCTCATAGGACAGACATTTCATGGAGTTTGCTCTAAGAAGTAAAGAAGATAATGTCCACTTCCTTCTTAGTTACTTTTTTTGATCTTCCCTAAACGGAACATTAAGTAACAATGTCAGTTTAAAAAGAATAAGGTGTGCCTGAACCAAGCCACAGATTTTTCAGTTACTTCCTCTGCATGTGAAAATTGTATAATGAAGAAGGATAACAGAAGAAGAATCAGTGTCTTCAATTGTGGTGTTAGAGAAGAGTACTGAATATCTCAGATTGCCAAAAATCCAAACAAGTCTGTCTTGGAGGAAGTGCATTAAGGGTGCTTCTTAAAGGTAAGGATGGGGAAACTTGGTCTCACATA